CATAGTAACCCTGGAAGGTTGGTAATAAGATCCCCATTTGACAGAGGAAGAAACTGAGGCCTAGGGATTACATAGCCAGTAGGGGACAGAGCTTGGGGTTCCCAGGGAGATAGTAGATAATTCTCCCCCACAGAGGTGACTGTTGAACCCCTTCTTTGAAGGTGAGTCCATGTAGCCAAAATGAAAAGAGGAGAAATGCCCTAGGAAGCAGAGGGAGCCTCAGGTGCAAACGTATGGCGTGTGGAAGGTTCCGTTGGTGAAAGGATGCAAAATTTGGACAAACGCCCTCGTGGCCCTTTGGCTCAGAGTAAATACACCATAAGCAGGTGCATACACCTTCCTCTTTTCTCTTCCTCTGTCTGTCTCCCAGGGACTCCTGTGAATGGTAAAGGCACAGAAGCATCTGTCCTCCCTTTTACTCCCTGGTCACCCTGACCCAGGCCCACTGTGAGGGAGGCCACACTGTGGCCACTGAGAAATGGCTTGAGAGGTAGAGAGTTCTACACGTATTGGGGAAGGTGAAAAAGGTAAGCATTAGGGAGAGCTTCCCAGAGGAGAAAGTATGCAGGGAATGAAGGAGCATTACTCTTCCCCAGAATTCACTCCAGGGTTCCTTATTGATACCAAGTGTCATGTGTTATGTCACTGTCCCTTTGTTCTCACTGTCTGGGGTAGGTGTCATCTTTACCTCCCATTTTACCTCTCAGGAAATGGGCTCAGGAGGAGGAGTGACTTTCCCAAGGTCACACAGCAGGGGCTGAGCTCAGGCATCCCTCCCCCTTCTTCTCTCCCCCTCCTCCTAGGCAGCCTGGCACCCGCTGTCAGCTGCTCTGAAGTGAGTGGCTATTTTTATTCTGGTGCGAGGGGATCTCGGGCAGCAGAGCCATGTAGGTTAGAAGGCTCTAGGTCACTCGGCTTTAGCAGGCAAGGAGAGGCTCATTGCAGGGACATAAGCTTGCCTGGGGGCTCTTATTTCTTGCAGGCTGACCTGCCCTGGGCTCCCATGTCTTCAGTAACTTTTTTATTAGAGCTTAGAACAGAGCATAAAGCCAGACTAAACCCTGACCCTGATTCCAGATCCAACTTGGGCCCCAATCTTGGTGTTAACTGAGCCCTAATCCCATGCCAAGACCGGGCCTCTACTCCATCTCTAGATTGAGCTCTGACCATGGCCTTAGATTGAGCCCTGACTCTAGTCACTTACAGAGCCTAATCCAAGCCTCACTGAGTCTGATCCCAACTTGAGACCTTGATTCTGGACCCAGGTTGAGCCCTGATCCTAGCCTAAGACTGGGTCATAGTTACAGACTGAACTCTAACCCTAGTCTAGACTAACCCTTGATTTTATACTGAAGCCTAACTCCAAGTTTAGACTGAGGTCCAAGTCTAGTCGTTAACTAAACCCTGACCCTGGTGGAAGACTGAGTCCTGATCTTGTTTGTAGACTGAGCCCTGAGCCTGATCAATTGACTGAATCTTGATCTCAAACTGAGCTCTGACCCTGGGTCACACATTTCTGGTCACACACTGATCCCGAACCTCATACTGTGCATTGAACCTGAGTGTACTCACAGACTGAGCCTTGATCCTGGTCACAGGGTGAAGCCTAATCATTGTCTGAGCCCTGAGTCCAGCCCCAGACTCAGTTCTAATCCTGACCCTAGGCTAAGGGCTGACCCTGATCCTCTCTGAGCCTGACCCCATCACAGACTAAACCCTAAACCCAGCCCCACCAGAGGAAGGCTGCTGGCCTAGATTACAAACTGCCACATAAGGGAAAGGATTACAAGCAGAGATTGTTCTGGGAGATCCTGGGCCTCCCATGGCTGCTGATGCCAGAATGTTCCCGGTACTGTTGTGGCCAGTGTCTCTATCACTGGTTCCACTGGCTGGCTAGTCAACCCTCAGCAGCCCAGGCTGTGGCCCCTGCAGGCCACAGCGTCCAGGTTAATGCAATGAGAGTGGTTTGGTGGCATCTATCCAGTGAACAACATGGGCCCATAGGGCATTGAGGCTTGGTTCTGTCAGCAGAAAAACCGTAGGCTCCATGAGGTCTCTGGCTTTAGCCTCTCTGAGGCTCTTGCTGGGGTGTGGGTGGGGTAGAGGGAACCCATGAAATATGTCCCATTGTTTTTTTAAAACAAAGTTTACTATTTATGTTTAGGTAATAGAAAGTAGAGGAAAAGTGTGAAGGAGAAAAAAATCCACCTCTAATTTCATCTCCCAAGAAATGACCATTTTGACTTCTTGGGTTGTTTCCTTCTAGATTTGGTTTTTGGTCTAGGCATATATACAGGGTGATGCAAAAGTCGGCTTACAGTTGTGAGTGTGTGAAACAGAGTTTATTCTTGTATTATTATTTATTAATTATTGGATTATTTTCCGTATGACCAACTGTAAACCTACTTTTGCCCAACCCTGTATATTTACATATACATATTTTATATAATTGGTTGGTTACTCTGTTGCTGCTACAACATCCATTGCAGCCCATATCCTTGACAGGCTTCAGGAATGGGTCCCAATTTGTTAAGTCAATGAGTAATTCTCATTTTTCCAGCCACATGACTGGATCACGAATGGACTAGTGACAAGCAATGAGGCTCTTGCTGAGGACTTTTGGGAAAGAAAGCTTGTTTACTCTCCTGAGGAGATTACAAAAAGATGATTACCCCTCGATTAGATGTGAATGAAGAAGTCTGTGGTCCTGGTTAGTACTGGCATCCATCTTGACACCATGCAAGTACCTGGCCTAATGATCAGCGGAAACTATAGAAAGCAGAATGGAGAGAGATCAGATTTTGATGGCTTTATCAACTGGATTAAACCTTGCCTGAACGCCCGGCTGGGCATGGCTCAGTGGTTGAGCATCGACCTAGGATCCAGGAGATCGCCGTTCAATTCCGTCAGGCACATGCCCAGGTTGTGGGCTCAATCCCCAGTGGGGGTGTGTGCAGGAGGCAGCCTATCAATGACGACTCCATTGACGTTTCTCTCTCTCCCTCTCCCTTCCTCTCTCTGAAATCAATAAACATGTATTTAAAAAACAAAACAAAACAAAACAAAAAAACTTGTCTGAAACCTTCCCTGCCATTTGACTTTTTTGTTGTTGTTATTTGAGCCAACAGATGCCCCTTTATTAAGTCAGTTGGGGTTTCTGTGACTTGAAGCCCAGAGCACTGCAACTTCCAACTGATATTGCTGTTTAGTAGTGGGATTTTAAAAACATTTTATACTATAACAATGAAAATTTTTCATGTCAATCAACATTTATTCTTCATGTAATATCATCTGAAACAACTGCATGGTTTTCTACCCTATGGAGGTATCATCATTAGTTTAATTAATTCCCTGCTGTGACATGCTTAGGTTGTATCTCCAGTTTTCACCATGATAAATAGTATTTTGATAAACAAACTTGACCTAACTATTCGTCCCCTCTCTGATGATTACTTTGGGTCAAATTCTGAGAATGAATGACTGTGTGGGAGAAACGTTTTTAGGGTTTTGATTTATTGAGTTAAATTGCCCTTCAGAAGCTTGGGTGAATTGACACTTCCACAGAAGTCAATGGAGTGTTAGACTTAGCTTATCATGTCAAAAGTCTGGACAGAACCAATTATATTTACAGCGTCTTCATGTATTTATAGAGAATGGATATCAAGTAACAGCTCTAAGCCTATCATTAATTATACCTTTATAATCTGTCAGTGAATGGGAGGTAGCAGGGTATAAGCAAACGGCTTAGTGTAAACCTCACTTCCATTAGGCTCAGTGTCTAGGGTCCATGATACTTTTAGGGGTCCATAATTTTATTATTATTTTATTTAATTAAATTTTTTTTAGAGAGAGAGAGGAAGGGGGAGAGAGAGAGAGAAACATTGCCGAGAGAAACATCAATCGGTTGCTTCCCATATGCTCGGCAACTGGGGATCGAACCGGCAACCTAGGTATGTGCCCTGACTGGGAATCAAACCCACAACCTTTTCGTGTACGAGAGGACGTTCCAACCAGCTGAGCCACCCAGCCAGGGTGAAAATGTTATAGTTTTAATGTATTTTAAAATCAGAAGAAAAAAATGAATATGCAATAATGAATCCAGCCTGGATTATATTCTTTTTTTTTTTTTTTATCAAA